AACAAATATTTGCTTAGCAACTACTATGTTCTAAGCTGAAGAAAGGGGTTTGGGGGCCTCCCTGGTGGTGCAGCAGGTTGAATGCAGCGGTGTGAAGCTTTCTGCAGCCTCTGCAGCACTGGTTCAACTCCTGGCCGGCCAGGGAGATACCCACATGGTGTGGCAGACCTCTCCTGTCTCGCCTGCTGCTCCCCTCAGCAGTATTTTCAGTCCATCTGCCTGTTCTGCTCCCAGATCTGTCTCTGGTGAATTCTTTCACTCTCCTGAGCTCCTGGCCTGTACCCCAGTTCTTGTAGAAATAAAATAAAATAAATCTTAAAAAAGAAGAAAGGTGTTTGGGAACGTGGAGCAGAATAAGATTAGTTTAGGGCCTTGAGTCACTGAATCTAGCATATAGGGTAAGTTGCTACCACAGAGATCCCCAACTAGAGTGGCTAAATAAGATGGGTTTATTTCTCTCTCATATAAGTGAGCACACCAGACTGGCAAGGTCGGTTCATGAAGGACTTCATGGGCCCAGTTTTTTACTATTTTGCATCTCTAAGTTTCTGTTTCAGGATATGGAGAGTAGGAGGTGAGGAAATCTAAGGCAAGCAGCTTGTCTTAAGGAATTTTCTCTCATGTTCCCACTGGCTAGAACTTAGTCACATGACCATGTCTACCTGTAAGGGATGATGGGAAATGTAATCTGGAACTGATGGCCATCTGTTTAGGTAAAACTTGGGGGTGGAGGTTATTATAAAAAAGAAGGGAGACTGAATACTGAGGGAGTAGTTAGCATGACATGATTTAAGGAGATAAGTAAGTGAATGCTCACAATGTGGTGAGGTAAATTGCTTCTCTCAAGAACATCAGCTTATAATCCTTGAGTAGAGAACTAACCTGTGGCCCTTATTGGAGCTTGGGCTTTGGAATCAGACCTCTGGGTTCAAATCCCAGTTCTATCACCTGCCTCTGGGACCTAGCCTGTAGGGGTGGTTTGAGGAGTAAATGAATTAACCCACATGAAACTCGAGTCTATATGCAGGAGTAAACTGCTATTGTTGGGGAATGTGGCTTGATGTGTTTGAATAAGTCAACTGGCCAGGATATATGAGGAACTCTTGTGTATTTGCCTGTTCTACAGCTTCCCACAGACCTTGTCTTTCTGAATGCTAGTTTGGGTATTGAACCCTTGGCCCTGCTCATCATTGAGAAATGTTAATGAAGATAAACAAGGCCATCTGAAGAGGCTAGTGTCTTGGAAAAAAAAAATAGAATCAATTTGTGTTTGCCTAGAAAGGACCTAGGGGAGGAATTTAGGGGATGTTTCAAGGTCTTGCTCACTGTTCTATGGCTTGATTGAGAGCCAATGAATTTAGCACATGGTCCACAGGTCTCTGTGGGAAGAGTAAGAGTCCCTCTTCTTTGGTGTATTTCCAGGTAAAGGACTCTAGAAATTATTCTCTGCTACTTAGCTAAATAAAACCAGTGAAGCATCCCAGGGGCCTGGGGAGAACTTTGCCCCTGGGGAAGGCCCAGACAGCCTTTCTAACGGCCCCTTCAGCAAGAGGGAAAAATAGAAAAGCCGCCCTTGCTGAATGCTGTGTTGGCAGGAGTTGGGGTGTCCTCTTACGAGGTGCCTGTGTCCTATGATATGCGGAGGGTGTTGTGTTTCCCATCTTCTCCAGGTGTCATGTGGAAAGGGAACTTCTTTACTTCAGAACAAGAGCCTTAACTTTCCTTGGCAACTCAGATAGTAGGTAGATTCTTGCAGAAAAAGAAGCAGGTGTTGGAAAGTGGTTTTCAACCAGCTTTCTGTACTGTCTCGTTTTTAGGCATCCAATGAACCTTAATATCCCTTTTCCCCATAAGTCTTGAACTTGAACCTCATGCAGCACTGGAATGCCACATCACCTGGGTACCATTTTTGACAATAAAAACATTTAATAGACTCCTAGGAAATAGACTAGGTATAGGGAGGGGGGCACATGTTCAAGATTCACACATAGAGTGGAACCCCCACTAGGCTGTGTCAGAGGTGGGCCGGGGCAGGAGTGTAGCGTCTGAAGGCCTGGGTAGCAGCTGGCTCATGGGCACATAGTCAGGTGGTTGTGTCTTCCTGCCTGTGTTTCATAACTTGTAACAGGGTGGTCCCCAGGGAAAGGGGAGGTTCCAGGTTCCCTGTCCCACCCAAGAAAGGGTGGAGCTGAGCAGCGAGGAAGAGAAGATGGAGAGGAGACTGGGAGAAGGAAGGAAGCAGGAAGGGGAGAACAGGAGACCTGGAGGAGGCACATGGAGCCAAGAGCTGCCCTTGCTCCTTGGCCTAAGGTCCTGTACCAGGGATTTGGGGGACATGGTAGGAGATACTTGAAACAGATGTGGGTGAGAGACCCATGGGGAGGTTAACAATGGCAGCTTTTATCTTGATTTTGGTTTTGATCTTTTCCTTTCAGACTTGCCCCTTCTTCCCCTTTTCTATGAGTCCCCACCAATAGGTGCCTTAGGCTTGTGACAGGTGTTCAGGCCTCAGCAGTCCCACTTTGGGCCAACCTGTTTGTCTGGGCATTTACCCATGAGGGGATGGGTAACTTTGGATGTTTCATGTGAAAACTGTATTATCTATTCTTTCCCTTCTCTTCTCTTTATTGCACACTAATTGTATTAACGTTCCTTTCCATTAAAGGTCTCATGCACTAGAATATGTTTTGTGTTGATGTGGCAGATGGCAGAACCTATTTAGAGCAGGCAGGTTTGTTGGTCCCAGGGTGCCCCTCACCCTGCCTGGTAACAAACTGACATTCTGCACTTGACCTCTGTCTAAGGTGTCACAAAGATCCTAAACCCAGGAGTTTGACTCTATAGGTGGCCATGTCCCAGGATTTCCATCCTCTACTTTCTCCAGCTCTATGAACCTCGTTGCTCCTCTATCACCAGCTGGGCCTTTACTCTTCCAATCTTTTATCTCCTTCCCTTCAGGAAGGCTTATCAAGGTGGTGGGGCAGCAGTGGGAGCTACCCACTATTGCCTATTAAACTTTGGTCTCCCATTCATGGAGGTCTCTTCTGAAACTTTGTTATCTCTACATGAGATTATGTCTGTAGTTGCCAAGCTGTTCATCACAAAGCAGTGAATGCATAGTGCTGCACCCCCCACTGCAGTGACCCTCAGGGCTAATGGCTGTTGCCATGGTCCCTGAGGTCCAGCGTGGGCAAGGAACCATGCGCGCAGGGGGAGAACAGCAAACTCCCTAAGATGCAGAGAAGCCGAATGCCTGCCAAGAAATAATGACCACCAAAAGCTGCCACAAAGATGATTAAAAAAAATGCTGACCACCTGGAACCTTATCTCGCTTTCTCAAGGCCCACAAACTTTATTCTGCTACAACTTGTCTCTCTAAAATCTTTCCTTTTTCTGGTCATTGATTGCTAATTAAAAAACATATGTAATTTAATAATTAGACTAATGCAAATGAAACATTACTAAACACTGTGTTATAATAAAATTGTTGGTTTAATAATCTTTCTATTATGTGCTTAACCTTAGTACCTTTGATATTAACTGCATTATAATATAAATTTACCTATGACAATTAATTATAAGTAAACATAAGTAAGTAATAGTAGTAGTAGTTAGTACAAGAATATAGAAAGAGTTAATAACCTGTCCAATTAGGAATGAGGCTAGGTCCAGGTGTAACTTCGGACATAAATCACTGCCCTGTCAATTAAGCTAAGCCTATGAGCAAACTGATCTCTTTGATGTTCACTGTTCCTATGCCTTTAGAAAAAACATATATATACTGACCACTAACTTAATAAAAGCGCACTCAGATTTTCACTCTTTTGAAGTGTGTCTGTGTGTCATTTATTCATCGAATCCCTGACCACCCTGCGCAATCTCTCAACCCTGAGACGGCCTCATCGTCCATCGCTGTGCTGGTCCGCAGCACATAGTCTCTGCTTACACCACACCATCCATGGGGCACTCTGCCTTAACATTTTTAAAAATAGTTTTTGTAATCCTCTAGAGAGCATGATTATTTCCATTGTATTTGAATGTGTGTGTGTGTGTGTGTGTGTGTGTGTGTGTGAGTGTGTGAGTGCGTACATGTGAAAACAATGAATTTGTTAAGCATGATCATTTAAAATGTGCCATAAATGTAATCCTACTTTGCATGTCTTCATTTTTTAATAACCCAGGAGCCTGGGCCTCTCTCTCCCTCTGGGAGTTCCTGTATTCCAGCCTGTTAGATCACCGGTGAGAATCCTTTTTACACAAGAGGGCAATTCAGGAAAAACAAACAAACATATTTACAGGTCACCCTTCTCCCCCAATCAAAAGTAAGAGCTTTATTGAGTCTCCTGATGGGGTTGGAGAAAGGTGGAGAGGCGTGGAGGGGTGGGAAGGGCTTAAAGGAAAGTTTATTTTTACAACCTACTCTACTGAGTAGAGTAGTATCAGTGAGAAAATAAGCACTGTTTCCAGTCATTGAAAACCTAATATCCATTTGGAGACAGGTTGATACCTTTTCATCCCAAAGTTAGACCCCTAGCTGCTGTGTGATCTTAGTCGCCATGCTGACCACTAGTTTAGTGCCCTGCCCAGCACCCTATTAGGAAGCAATGTGGTATAATGGGTTAGGAATAGACTCTGTAGCCAGACTGCCTTAGCTCTGCCACTTAGTAGTTGTGTGACTTTGGGCAAGTTACTTAACCTCTCTGGGCCTTGATCCCAGATTGTAAACTGGGGATTATATTAATCCCTTCCTCATAGATGGGATTAAATGAGTTGATTTATGTACTTAGAACCATGCCTAGCACATGTAAACCCTGCATCGCAAGTGCCAGTTATCAGATATGTTGTTATTGAACTAAGGGGAACCCAAGCTGGCCTTATAAAGAAATCTCTTTCCATCTTTGGCTTCTATGTTGTCCCCCTTTTTCAGAATTTCTTTCTAGTCTCTGTTCATGAACTTAGATTTGATTTCCATATGAAATAATTATGCCTTTCCTCCTCATTCAAGTTATTTTTTTTCTTTGAAGATAATTTATTTGTCTCCAATCACAAAGTACAGGGAAGGTTCAAGGGCAACACCTGCGGCCCCTTGGTTGCACTGGCCGGTGGTGGCATGGGTGAGCGTGTGCACGCAGGCCTTACCCACCCGAGCTTTCTCTTTCCAACAGCCACAGAGTGGAGAACCTGACCATGTGGGGTGTTTTCAAGGTCATTTTGCAAATATTGAAATTGAACTGTTTGTTCCAACTGTCGATTTCCTAAAACTCATGAACAAGTACGTTGTGGTCAAATTATGTGGACAGAGCTTAGTGCTTCATTTCAATTCCTTCCATTTTTAAGGGAAGAAAAGCAAAAAACAAAAATAAACCTGGCCTGGATAGTACATTGGATTAGTTACCCAGTGTAGGATGTGCATGGGGATTTTGTGAGATGGCTCATTTCCAAGAAAGTCCAGCTCCTCGGTTTCTCCTTTCACATCTTCTCCCAGGATGCTCTTCCTCCATACTCAGCGAATCAGTGTTTGCATCTGTAAGAGGCTACAGGAACGAAGCACACCAGGTAAAATCTTACTCTAAGAGTCTGACTACTTTATTCACCATCACTCTTATTTTTATTTATTGACTTTTTTTTCAAGAAAAAAAATTGGAAGTATAACCTGGATACAGAGAAGTACACACATGTTCAACTCAGTAAATGTTCAGAAGTTGAACTTGGGTCTTCAGTACCCAGATTAGAAAATCAACAGTACAGAAGCCCAGACACCAAAATGGACATACTAGAAGATTCTACTTGATGGGGTTAGACTGAGGATAGTCACCCTTGGCAGAGCTGAGTTGGGTAAGAGGTGAAGTAGTACTGGAAGGGGTGCAGCTGTGTTTCTGTTCCTCTGTCCCTTCTCAGTGCTGCATAGTACTCCCCACAGGAAGTACCCCATGATTTCTTTGCCATTCTATGTATGGTGGGCAGGTGGCTGTTTCTGGTTCTTCTCGGAGCTGCATGTGGGAAGCATGGTGGTGTGTGTTTTTTGGAGGCCCAAGTGCACATACCTGCTGGAGGGGTAGCCAGCCATAGGTCAGTAGTTGGGGCCAAAGGCACTTCCAGTGTAGGGGTGCCAGTCATTTGCTTGATTTTGATGAAGTTCATTCCACATTCAGGTTGGACTTGGGTTTTAAAGCAGAACCACAGAACAGTGCTATGACTTTGTGGGGACTCCTCCCTTCCTGTTGCTTCCCTATCAGGCGGCTGAGTGTTTTGGCAGCTCCAGCACTGTCACTGCTCCTCTTGGGGGAGACACTGGAGAGACTTTCTAGAACTGCCACTTGAAATGGCAGGTTTGGGATTTTTCCTCTTTGTCTCTTTTTGTTCAAAAACAGAAAATATGAATTACTACCTTCCAGTAAGTCAATAAAGAAGCCTGGGTATCTTCCCACCCACTGCCCCCACCTGCCCTATACCTATGCTGACTGATAGGTGGAACTTGGGGAACTTTGGAGTGAAAATCACTCATGAGCTCACCCATTTCCCCAAATTTGCTCACTGGATCAGCCCATGTATAACTTCAATTACAGTTTCCCCTCTTCAGACTTTGACAAAGCTGGGCAGGAGCAGAGTCAAAGGTCCCTCTATCTCCTCCTAACTTTTTGGTGTAAATAATCATGGTATAAGGTGTGTCAGAGAAGGCCTCTACATCCAACCCCAGATACTTACAAATAGGGACCTCTGGAGAGAGCTTAATGGACTCTTTTTGTTTTGGCTTGTCCTCCTTTCTCCGATGTCCAAACAATAAGCTAACAACAACATCCTGTGGACAAACAGCAAAAATATTACTTCACACTCTGCTTCCTCCTAAAAATCACTCACAAGAGCGTTCGCTAGCCCTGCCATATGGGTGGTCATTATTTTACTTTACAGGTGGGAAATTGAGACCTGCAGAATCGGCTTGACACAGTAAGGCTGTGGGAGAAGGAAGGGCTGGAAGCCAGACCTCATGCCTACAATTTGCACTTATAGGAGCAGAGAGGCCCTCTTTCTAAAAGGAATTTTAATGATGATGTGTCTGTGTTGGAGTTCATTCTTTTGGTGGGTGATTTTCCAAAGGTGCTTGGCATTTTGTCTGGTTAGAAAGAAGGTTTTGGTAAGCACATGTGTATAAGGAATTAATTGCTGTGTTGTTTATAGTGGTCAAAAATCAAAACTCGGTGAATATCTTATCAGTAGGAAATAGCCCGAAAGATCTAGTGCCTTTATATCATGGCTTGTTACAGAACCATTGAAAGGATTTTGGTAAAGTATGGCAGAATAAATGGGGAGATGTAAGTGTATAATATATAATTCTATTTTCTGTTAAACGAACAATAGCTACCCTCTAACCCCCCTGCAAGTCATTCATGTATATTTGTATGTGTCTAATATTTACATGAACATGGGGGAAAATGTGGACAGTCATAAACTGTTAACATGGGCAAGCAGGGTCAGGGATGGGGGTGCTGATATGGGAGAACGGGGTATGGGAAAATAGCATAGGTGATACATTACCTATATGCACATACAGATGTATGCCTAGGTATAAAGAAACACATAAAAAGTTCATGTATAAATAAAAAGAATGAAACAAAAGAGTTGCTCATGAAAGAACAAGGCTGTGACCCCTATATGGGGCAGCTTGCTTGGCAAGGGCAATCACTGGCTTCTGCAGGGAAGGCTTCACCTCTAGGTCAGTTATGCTGCAAGTGGGGGACAGTGGTCAGAAGTCCATCAGGGGAACTGTGTGGGCGGCTGAGCACAGACACCCTGCTGGATTCACAGGGCAATAGTTATGGCTGCCATCCCTGAATTGCCTACCGCGTGCTGGTGTTTTCAAAATTTCTCAAAGTTAGATTTTTTTTCCTCCCCACTTAATGGATGAGGGAAACTGAGAACACACAGCTCAAGGCCACATTGTGAGTGGTGCAGAGACTGAGGGGCAGGTTTGTGTGATGCCAGAACTCCTTGCTTTTTGGAATTCAGAGTTTCCATCCCAGCCACTCTGGGAGGGTGTTGTGGGGAAGTGTGATCAGGGCTGGCCTGCTTTGATTCCAGCTGAGATTTCTGTAGGGCCCTCTCTCACAGGTGTGCATCCTGAAGTGTAGCTTTTGCCGCTAGAAATCAACCAAGTCCCCATCTGGTGACTGTTTCCTGTGCATACTCGCTGGCCTGGTTCTGGATGGCAAAGCTTACCTGGGTGAGGGGAAAGCAGACTGTTTGGGCCTCTGTCCCCGAGGGAGCAGGGCTGCCTGGAAAAGTAGGGCATCTGGACACCTACCTCAGGACAGGTGAAAGGCAGACTGGCTCGTTAAAAAGGAAGCCAGTTTTCCCAAGTCTGACATCTGGCCCCCAACTGTATCAGCAGACGCGTTGGGAGAAAATGCTTGGGCTTTCATGGGGGTTTCTCTTCCACCCCCCTCCCTTTGCACCCGCCCTCCTGGTCCCCACCCCACCCCCACTGAACACAAAAGAACTAACAGTAGTGGCTTGTTTGGTGGCCTGGTAATGTGACTTCCACTCAAATTGCTGAACGCCTGTGCCGTTGCCAAGGGTCCCCCAAAGTGAGTACTTAGATAAAAATCTCAGTTCTGCCAATCCATGTCACCTGGCATGACCCCGTCTTTCTTTGCCTTGTTTTCCTCATTCATAAAACAGGGCTTGGCTTTTTCTCTTGCTTAAGATGAAAAGAACACACACACACACACACACACACACACGTATACTGTTGCTCTCTCTATTTAAACAAGGGACCACATATATTTAGAAAGATATGGCCAGTTCTATGTTTTCGGTTTGGCTGAGAGCAATAGCTCTGCTGACACCAACAGTAATCGCCATTTTCACTTAATAAGTCTGGATGTTTCTGGTGTGGCTGTTTTCTCCAGGGTGCTGTGTCTTAACAATGGCATTGATGACTTCCAGGATCTGGCCTGTTATGTAAAGGTTAACTTCACTGCAGAAATGCAGAGACTGCTTCCCCTGGCCCTCTCCACCCCACCTTGCCCCAGGCAGGGTTGCAGCAGCTGGACCTGCAACCTCTGTCGCTGCCTCCCTCAAGGCCCCTTCACTTCCTTCACTGCAGGGGGCGGGCCCACAGGCCTTGAGAGGGGAGGACAGAACCAGGAGGAAGAGTGCAGTAGACCCATCTGGAGGATTTGGGGCAGGTTCTTGCCCATACCCACACTTGTGCTTTCTGCCCACAGATTCGAGGTTGAGCATCGCCGCCACGTCAGATTGACTGGTCCTTCAGAGCCTTGGTCTTTATCTTTCGAGGGGAGCAAAATTATTGCTGATGCCATGATTATGAACAGGAATCTTGATCTTGTCTTTAAAGACTGGGGCTTGGTCTCCTGTACCTGGCACGGTGCCACCCAGTAGAAACTCAAAGCAATGCTTCTTATTCACATGGAGCCCCTAGAGATCTATGACTGGACAGCATAAAAAGAACTCATTTAAGAAAAATTCTTTTCTTCCTGTGCATGGTAAAGTGTGGTATTTGTACACCTTTTCCTCCATTCTTATTCTTTGCATTTATTTTACTGGAAAGGTGATTTCCTTCTGACCAGTTGAAGCTGGTTGGACCTTACCCCAGGTGCCTCTTCTGTTTGCATTTCTGAGAAGAGATGGTGAAATACATGCTCTGCATGGCTGTTGAATGTGGGGAAGGATGTACCAGGTTGGGAGGAGAGCTTTTCAGCATCCTGGAAGCGGCTCCTCACTCTTCCCTACTCCCATTTGGACCACAGAGTCGTCTGAGGTCCTGACAGTGTCGCTTACCCAGATCCAGATAAGACAAGGGTTGGAGCTCCCAGTGGACTCCCAGGCTAGGAGGCTGTCCTTCAGAGGAAAGGAAAAAAAAAAATCCACCCAGATGGAATGATAAAAGGAATGACATCACAGTAGGCATGGCAACTGCAGGGTAATCATACTCTCCCCACGAGGTGGTCAGAACCCCGAGGGAAAGGCCTAGTTCCATTGTGCGCCTTTTCCCAGGGGGCAGGTAGGAGCAGGAGGCGGAGGAGGGGTTGCTTATCTAGTGGCTCAAGCAGGCCAGAGGTTTCGCTTTTCACTCCAGATCTGCCTTCCAGCTCTGACGGTCTCTGGGGTGTTGGTGTGCCACCTCAAAGCATTTGCATTGTGTCACTTTATTATCCCTGGGGGCTTGGTGGGAAGGGGGAACAAAAAGGTGAGTGAAGTGGAGAGATGAACCTGGAACTCTATAGTCAGGTGCTCTTCTGTGAGGCTCAGAACTCCTCTGATGATGATGAACCTGCCTCATTCACTTGGCTTCTCTGGGCCTTGACTTCTACAGAAGGCGGTGTTGACCTGGGTATAAACTGTGTCAGTGGTGCTAATTTCGAAGTCACTTGTGTTCAAAGCCCAAAGAGAGGATGGATTTAGAACAACTCCCCGAAGCACTGTGTGGACCTAAAGCAGGTATATATATGGTACGTGCTGGCACTCTGGGGCAGCTGGGATGTTGTTGTAGGGGGTGGTGTGGAATACAGTGTAAGGATTTTAGCTATTAAACAGTTGAATGACCATGAGGTTGCTCTGTGGGGGCTTTGGGTAACCTGGGCTCAGAAATCATTTCTCCTTGCCAGTCACTGTGGGGTGATTAAGTCCATGCCACACCTGGCTGCTGTCTATCTGTAGGTCAAATCACAGTTGTTTTCTTGTCTCCCTGTCACTCAAGTATTTGGGGTCTTAGAAGTAAGGCAGGCTGACCACGTGTGAAGCTATCAAGATGCTGGAGCCTCCACCTCTGCTTTTCGGCAGAGCTGCCCACTTGTCTGTGGACATTTTAAGGCACTGAAGAGTCTCTTGAGAATAATGCTCTTTGACTTCTTTACCTAGACTACCTGAAGTTTTGCTCTTTTCAAACTATCTTGGGTAAAATGGAGAAATTGCTTACTCAGCCCCTCTTGGCTCTGGGTAATTTTGTAAAGTGAGTTTATCATTTAAATTTTTTATTGAAATAAAATTCACCTGACATAAAGTTCACTATTTTAACAATTCATTGGCGTATGTACATTCACAATATTTAACCATCATCACTACCTAATTCCAGAGCATGTTTAATCATACCCCCAAATCTTTTACCTATTAAGAAGTAGTCATTCCAGGGCCTCCCCGGTGGCGCAGCGGTTGAGCGCTGGGTTGCGAAACTGCCCGCAGCCTCTGCGGTGCCTGTTCGATCCCCGGCTGCTCCCCGGCCACCGGAGGAGGGTCCCACATGGCGCGCAGACCTCTCCTGCCGCCCGCTGCTCCCCTCAGCAGTGTACTTCGGTCCTTCTGCCTGCTCTGCTCCCCGTTCTGGCTCTGGTGAATTCTCTCACCCTCCCGCGCTCCTGACTGTACCCAGTGCTTGTATGTATGTATGTATAAATAAATAAATAAATAAATAAATCTTTAAAAAAAAAAAAAAAAAGTAGTCATTCCTCCCTCCGCTGTCCTGTCCCTGCCACCATTAATTTCATATAAAGGGAATCAGACAATATGTATCTCTTTGTGTCTAGATTTTTACTCTTAGTATGTTTTTTGTTTATGGCAGAATAGTATTCCATTGTATGGATATACTACATTTTATTTATCCATTCATCAGTTGATAGACATTTGGGTTATTTTCACTTTTTGACTATGAAAATTCAAGTACAGGTCTTTTCTATGGACATGTTTGCAGTTCTCTTGGGTATATACCTAGGAGTGGAATTGCTGGGTCATATGATGACTCTATGTTTAATTTTTTTGAGGAACTACCAACCTGTTTTCCATAGTGACTGACTCATTTTATATTACCACTAGCAATGTATGATGGTCCAATGTTTTCACACCCTTGCTGACACTTGTAATTATCTGTCTCTGTGATTTTAGCCACCCTTGTGAAGTGGTATCTCATTGTGGTTTGATTTGTAGTTATCTAATGATAAATGGTGCAGAGTATCTTTTCATGTGCTTATTGATCATCTGTGAATCTTTGGAGAAATGTCTTTAAGTCCATGTTTTACTTGATCATTTATCTTTTTGTTTGTTAAGAAGTGAATTTATTTTGATAATACATCATTGTACCTTCCCACACTCCAGCTGGCATGGAGAAGGAGGAGTTTGTGGGTCACTTACAGCAGACCAAATTCTCTTGCTCCTTAGACCACTCCTTGGTGTTCTTGGGACTCTCCTCTTCCTTGTTTTCTTGTAGCAATTTTCTTTCTCCCAGAGTTTCTGCTCTTGATCCAGATCTTTTTTTTTTTGCTCTCAATTCCTCCCCAGCTGACTTCATACACACACATGGCACCTATCACCATATATATGCTGATTTCTCCCAAATGCATGTATCCAACCTAGACTTTTTTCTCTGGAAATCCATATTTACATGTCCAGGTGGAAACTTTGAGTGTTCAAAACTTCCCACAAAACTTTCTCTGCCAAGCCTTCTGGACCACCATCTGGAAGACAGACAGCAGCATCTACCAAGTCAGCCAAACTGGAAGTCATGTTGGACGCTTTCTGCTCTCTCAGGCACATCTGCCCTCCTCCTGCCAAGTCCTGCCCTCTCTTCAATGGCCTGTTCTAATTTGTCTTTAGTTTGTCTCTCCTACTCTGCCTTAGTTTAGGCCTTTGTCATTCCAACTGGACTCCTTAGTTTTGAGTTACTTCCTCCATCCATCCATTCTCTGCCAGAATGATCCAATTAAACTCCTCCCATCTTAAAACCCATCAGTGGCTCCTTGTTGCCTGAAAGATAAATTTCCTACTCCTTAGTTGAGCACATAGGGTCCCCTGAACCTGTCTCTCCAAACTCAAAACCCCCACTCATTCTCCCTTTAGTCCTTATTTTAACCCTCTTTTAACCTTCATATTTATTGAATGGGTTGCACTCCCTCCAACCTCCCTAACTTGAATGCATGATGTTGGCATGGATTTTACATATGGTGGTCAAGGATAGATTTCTAGGTCTGGATTAGATCCAATTTGACCCCATTGAAATACTACCATGAATAGGGAACATGGTGACTGTGGGTTGGATGTAGATTTTGATTCCATAATTTAGTTAAGTGAAAGAATCTTCAAACTGTATAGAAATGAAACTACTTTTTATTGTATTTGTGAACCACGTATACTGCAAAGGTGACAAACTCTTGGAAAATTTCTCACATTTGTCTCATCCATAGCCTGTTGTTACTTACTTTCTGAACCCAAAACACCAGAATACATGATGTGACAAGCATATGTATATTTTGGGAGCTGATGGGACAACATATTTGAAATTAGATTTGTATTCCAGTGTTGCCACAGTTACTAGCCCCTCCGAACACCAGCATCAAATACTTGTTTGGTACCTTATACCTCTAACCTCTGGGTTGTCTTAGAGCTTTTTCTAAGTATATTTGTTTCTAGGTGGAGAAACTGAATGAAATTGAAGGTGTGACTCCTGACCCTTTCAAAATATTTGTTTTTAACTTAATTTGGGTTATTATTTATTGCTTTCTATTTCTCAAAATTTTACTTAGGAAAAATTCAAACCCATTAAAAACTTGCAATAGTAGTACAGTCAACAGCCATAAACCCTTTCTTAAGTTCACCTATAGGCATTTTGCTAGAAAACACTTGTTTCCTGTCTTTCCCTTTTATATACATGTGTGAACACACACACATTTCCCGCCCCCCACCCACGCCCCTTATGTACATACTTCCCCCAAGTGATCTTTCAGGGTCTTTGGCATTTTGGTCCAAGTATCACATAGTCTGCAGAAGATAGATGATGCATGATGGGACAGAGAGAAAGAACTTTCTGGGTTCTCCTGTGGAGGGTGATTTATTTTCTTGTAGTTTCCAAATGGACGGAGACGCCATGGGACTAGATCAATGGCCCTTTCCGAGAACTTGTTAATCCTCCTTTCATCTGAGGCTGCAAATGTGATCAGCTATATTTTCAGGAAGTGTGACATCCAGTTCATAATACACCTTCTTCTGCTGGGTATGTTTTGAGCCTTCTGCAAAATTTGGTGCCAAAACAGAAGCCTGAACTCTTGGCTCAGTGTGCCCTGACTTGAATGAACATAGACAAGTCCCTTTCTCTGAGCCTCAATTTCCCCATCTATGTTGAGCACTTGGACCATCTGTTAAGGCCCCTTCCTCTGCTCACATCCTGTGACCTCATGGTGACCAGAAAAACCCAATCCTTCAGGAAACTGCCAGAAGAGACTTCATGTACTTGTGAGATGAACCCCAGAAATTTATTGCTGACTGGGCTGCGGCCAGGACTATGTCTGGTTTATAATGAGGAGTGTTTTTCCCCTTGTGTGAGCTACCAGCGCTCAGTGCCTGCTGTGGCTGGAGGTGGGCTTAGTGGGGAAGGAGGGGGGGACAGGAAGCAGCAGGGATTCCGACCCATTTGTTAGAACCCCCCCCTTCCATTGAGGTTGCCTATGCTTAATTTGTTGTTCTCCCCACACCTCTTTATAGCCACATTTACTCAAGGATATTGCCAGCTCCTTATTCTGTCCCTAGCCCACCTCCATGTTAAATATCTAAGGAGCACAGCATAGCTGAAGTGGTGGTGAAATGGGTGTCTTGAATGGCAACCTGAACAAGGCTGCACTCTCCTAGGTGGGCCTAAGATGTAGTCAAAGGCCAGCTTGTATTGTGTGGTTGTTGACAGTGTTGGTTAGAAGGTTCCATAAAGTTCCCACCTACAGAACCAGTGTGGGAGTCTTGGACTGATCAGGCTCTTTCATGGACTTTATCCCCGTGGGAGGATTAGAGAAAGTTCTGGTAAAAGAGAAAAGGACTTAGATGTGGTAGAGTTGAAGAAAGGAACTGGGGAGAGCAGGGTGATTGGGGGTTCATTTATTCATTCAATGAATGTTTATTGAGGGCCTGCTACATTATATGCAAGGTCCCCTTCACTGAAAAGTCTTAAATCCAGATAGCCATCATTAAAATGAGGCACTGTGCTATGAGTTACATAGTGGTAGATATAATATTCAAATAATCTTAACCATTCCTCCTTTTCTGACAATCATGTGCCAAGCATATTGCTAAATGGGTTACATCTATTCCATTTAATTCTCCCAACCGCTGATGAGGTGGATGCTGTCCTCATTCTGTAGGGAAGGAAAAGGAGGCTTGAGTCACCCGCTCAGTGTCAGATAATGAGTAACAGGCAGAACTGGCACTGAGTTCAAGACTGATTTCAAATCCCACCCTCTTTTTTTTTTTTTTTTAAGATTTATGTATTTATGCATACAAGAGCTGGAGTATAGGCCAGAGGTGTGGAGAGTGAGAGAATTCACCAGAGACAGAGTGGAGAACAGAAGAGGCAGATTGAATGAAATACACTGCTGAGGGGAGCAGCGGGCGAGGCAGGAGAGGTCTGCTGCGCCATGTGGGTTTCTCCCTGGCTGGCCAGGGGATCTAACTTGTGCTGCAGTGGCTGCGGACAGCTTCATACGTTGTGTCTTACCCCTTGCGCCACCAGGGAGGCCCTCAAATCCCACCCTCTTAACCTCAGCGCCTCTTATTCCTAAAAGCTGCCATGTGGACCGAAGCCAGTCTATGATCAAGTTTCTGCTGGTTGAAAATATAAGGATAATATAACTAGGTTTTAATAAGGCTTAATTTATTTAATTCAGTGGTTCTCAACTGAGATGATTTTGCCCCAGGGGATGTTTGGCAATACCTGGAGACATTTTTTGGATGTCACAACTTGGGATTGTTACTGGTATATAATGAGTAGTGGCCAGGGAGGCTCCAGAATACCCCGTAGAGCACATGACAACTCCCCCACTTCCCCCATTCCGGCAAAGTTTGTTGGTGCAAAGTGTCAATAGAGCTAAGGTTGAGGAATTCTGATATAATTTGAAAGATTATCCTAAATCTTAAAATGATGTTTTTCTGACTTTTGGGATATGTATTAGCTGGCCTTTCTTTTAAGAAATAATGTAGTAGATGGCAGTTGGGTTTTAGAATGTCCCTAGTGGGCAAAATTAAAAAGTAAGGAGACTATGTCGATCTCTCTAGTTTTTGTTGTTAAAAATTTCCTAGACTGTGAACTCCAAATATCTAGGAATTACTTGATCTAGGAATTATTTAAAAAAAATGCTGTTTGTTAAGGATTAAGGAAGAAAAGGATCTCATGTTGCAAGTAAGGCAAAGCCTAAGGTGCCCTTGGGGCTCCTGGGGTTTGATTTAATAACCGACATTCATGGGCACTTATTGCCTAGTACTGTGTCAGGTCCACAGGGAGGCCAGAGGGAGTTTTGCTTTGATAGACTTGTGATCTCCATGGGACAAAAAAGTGAGAATGCTTAAATCAAGTGGGCAACAAGATAGCCTGGCAAATAATAGCTAAGTTTAGTCACTGGGTAATGCTAACATGGCAAATCCAGTGTTTCTGCTGGAAAGAATTTTAGGTTCCTGACTTGGGTCTGCCATCAAGTGATTTATGTGCCTTTGGCAAGACACTTCATTTCCCTGCCTCTGCTTTCTTTTTGGTTCCCTGTCTTGGCTGAAACTCCCTCAAGTCCAAATGAGAAAGCCACCTCTGATACCTTCTCTCCCCTCTACTCCAATGGGGCACCCAGTCCTGCTGATTCTTTTTTGGAAATGTCTCTAGAGTCTGCCTGTTCTCTTCTTATTCCAGGACATTCCCCATCCAGCAGCCAGAATAATCTTGCTAAAACATAAATCTGACCGTGTCACCTGCATCTACTTAAAACCCTCAGTGGTTTCCTCATTGCCCACAGGATAAAGTCCTAACTCCTTGGCTGTCGTGGCTCTGTGCCCAGCTTACCTCTTCAATCTTGATTCTCATTTGTCACCCTTTCCTGCTACTTACCCCAGGGTCTAGACACACCAGATACCCACTCTTCTCTGGGTACAGATTGCTGATCCATTCTAGAACCTTCTTTCCTTTCTTTTCCACCTGGCAAAGTCACCCTGACCTTTTAAGGTCTGCCTCACTCATCTCCTCTGGGAGCTGCCCCAGATCTTCGAGACAGAGTTCATTCCCCCATCTCTCCCCGCACTGGCCTGTGGACCTGTTGAAGGCATGTGTCTTGCTCTGTGGTGTAAACTTCCTACTCAGCGATGTGGGCAGCACAGGGTAGGTGCTTATTGTCGAATGGAAAACAAATGGATAGAGGAGGAAAATTTAAGGTAGAGATAATAATGTTTGCTTTTTGTTATTACCCAAGGTTGCTTGTGGCATGAACATGAGATAATATTTATGGAAGAACTTTGAAAAGTGAGCGCCTTTACCAATGCAAAACAAAGTATGATGATTGTTTTTCAAAAATGATGATTGTTAACCTTTGAATCATAGATGAAAAACTTCAGAATTTTTCCCATTATGCCACCTGGGAATGGTTGTCAGGTACTAGGAAATGGTATACTAACAACAACAACAACAAAACCCCAAATGGCCATAGTTTTATACAATTCAACTGAAGATATGCCTGGTGAGTTCAAGGAGCAACTGTGGCATGTGCTGTGACTCAGTGGCCTGGATGAGTCTAGAGGCCTCTAGAGGTAACTTGCCCTTTTCTTTCCCAGCACCAGGACTGAGCATGGAGAGAGCCGTGGCCACAAAGAGGGGGCTGCCTTCCTTTTTCTTTTGTGTCCCATTTTCTTTCTATTCTTGATTCTTCTGTTTTTCTGCTCCAGGCACCCAAACTAAACACAGTGCACCAATGAAGAAACAGAAAAGGAATGGAAAGAGAGGCTTGGACTTGTGTAGTGCTTTGCAAACACCTGTCATATTAATGTTTGTAATTGGGGCCTCCCTGTTGGCGCAGCAGGTTGAGCGCAGCACTGTGAAGCTGTCCGCAGTCTCTGCAGTGCAGGTTCGATTCCCGGCCAGCCAGGACATGGCGCCCCTCACCTGCTGCTCCCCTCAGCAGTGTCCTCCATTTGTCTGCCTGTTCTGCTCCCTGCTCTGTCTCTGGTGAATTCTCTCACCCTCCCGTGCCTCTAACTGTAACAGATCAGACAGTACAAATTACTTGAGAAGCTGTTGTATCCAGGAACTGCCCAGCTGTTCTTGTAAAAATAAATAAATAAATCTTTAAAAAAACTCCTCAAAACTAATATTAAAAAAAATGTTTATAATTGGTATTTATCTCCAAATGTATCTTATTTCCAGCACTGAACATATACTCCCGGACTGTAATTCCATTGAAGGCAGGTATTTTCTTTTTTCTTTCTATTTTTAGGGGGAGGGGAATTTACTAATTTTATTTTATTATTTTTTAAAAAATTTATTTATTTTTTCTTTTTTCTTACAATGTTTCCTTTCTTTTCTCAGCTGTAGTCCCCATAGAATTTCCACCACCAGTTCGCCCGTGCACCATCACCGTAGTCCCTTGTGCTCTTCCCACGCTCATTTGGATCCCTTTCTCTCCCCCTCCCTGGCAGAATATCTCGGATTTATAGTTGTCTGTTTATTTTTATTGTGTTGTGGGGGTTTTTTTTGGTTGTTATTATTATTTTTTTCCTTGACCCCCCCTATATTCCTCCTATAAGTGAAACCATCCAGTATTTTTTTCCTTCTGACTTACTTCACTGAGCATAATCCTGAAGCCAAGTATTTTCTTCGAACCATAGTAGGTAACATGGATGTTTGTTGAGTGAGTGGATGAGCTTATGAGTAAGAACAAAGTTTGCATCTTCTGCCATTCTTTGGTTCATCATCTCTCTCTCTTATTTTTTTGTATTTTCTGAAAGGAAGGATTCTTCTTCCTTTTACCCTGTTGAGGGTGGAGGCTGAAGAGGTTAAACTTGATGACAAAGGCTTGTCCTATTGTTTACAGGCCATTAAAAGCCATTATCATCTTCCCAGGCCTGGCAGGCAGCATCTAGCTGCTGTGAGGAGGCATGTCTTAGGGTGATAAGGAAAATTTATCCCCTGTTTTGACTTCAGAACTTCTTCTTGGTTTATTATTTGATGTGCTCTTCAACTTTTTGTCTAAATGTCCCTGGTCTCAGTCAACTTTTTCAAGTTCTTGCCAGGGGAGGCTCAGATTGGAATCCTATAATTTTGGAGTTGGAAAGAAACCAGAGATAAATGCCTGTCCCTAAGACCCCCACACTCACCTTCATTTCCCTGCCACAGCTGGGCAGTTCCTGGATTCAACAGCTTCTCAAGTAATTTGTACTGTCTGATCTGTGAGGAGGGGGAGGGCAGACTTTTCTCATGACCTTCAGTGAATCCTCCCACCTCCATGAGCTCATCTATTGTGCTGACAGGACTTCTTAGAGCTTCTGTGGCTCCCCCTTACCAAAGCCCCCCATGACCAGAGCTCCCCCCCCCATTACCAGCTCCTTTCCTAGCACCCTCCCAGCATGGTTGCATAGATGAATGGGTTGTCTCAACTCTGTCACCCTCTGTGATAGGTGTATCTAGGCTGCTTCTGGGTGGGCTGGGGAGAGCCCTTGAGGGCTCTTACCCATGTTTCAGATAATCTGTCTCTCCAGGGGTCTTACTGAGGGTGTGACTTTTCATTTGGACAGATATAGGTATGGGGTATAGGAAACACACCCCCACGTCCCCCAGTCTACCTCCCTAAAGTGGTCCAGTTTTTTGCCTGGCGAGTCTGTGGGATCTTCTTTGTCCTCAACCTGAAATAAAGCCCTGTACTGGAGCTTGGATATTGCAACTTGCTTTCTAGCTGCTTGATAAAAGAGTTCAAGTGTACTGAGACACACACACAGACACACGCACACACAAACACACACAGAGGCAGAGAGAGAGAGAGAGAAAGAGAGAGAGAGAGAGAGAGAGAGAGAGAGAGAGAGAACCAGAAGCAGCTTGGCATTTATTTGGCACTCATGTTTGTTGAACAAATGAGTGAATGGGTGTCGGAACAAGGAATGTCAGTCAATACCAGGTTGCTCTGGGGGATCTGGGCATTGAATTCAGTAAGTATTTACTGAGTGTCTGCTCTGGAAAAGTTGGTGCTAGCTGCGAAGAAGATGTATAAGACCTAGTTCTTGACATTGAAGAGTTTGTATGTAGAAGGGAATGAGGCTAATTTTAGAACAAGGCAGGCAAAACACGTATGGACACAACAATATAAGCAACTTGCTGAAGGAACATAAACGGGGGGTGGATTAATTAATTCTGAATGAGGGGAGCATGGTTTTTAAGGATTTATCTGAATGGGGGGAAAGAAGGGAAAGGAGATCCAGGCTGGTGGGTAGTAAGGATGAAAGTTCTGAGACATGAGTGTGTCCTCAGCCTGCCATACACCAGGCCTGGCAGCCCCCATGCAAAGCCACATCTGTCTTCAGCCGGGGTGGCTCCAAATCCATCTCAGACAACTCCGAATAATCCCAGGAATTTTTTCCAGGCGTCTGACCCCGGGGCAGGGCTAAGGGCAGACATTCCTTTCCTCCAGACTTTGCTGGTGCCCTGTGTTGCTGGATTTTGCTCTTTGGAGGACAAAGTCAGAGGTGCCCTGCACTTGTTGAAGGTGGGTAAGCTCCCAGCGCCAGTTCCCTTAGCTCCATAAGCTGTTTCTTTGCCCCTGCCCATTGGTGCCCAAAGCCAGGCCCAGGCCCACCCTTCTGACTTCGTTTGTGCTCCAGAAAGGCCTTCCTCCAATTTCTCTTTGTCCAAAGGATTTGACCGTTCCCCAAAAGCCCAGCCTCCTTCTGGGAGGAAGCACATCCTTTCCTGGGCTCCCGAAGCATCCTCCTGCTGAGGTCTGCTGGCAGGGTTGGAAACGGGCCCTCCCTGTTTCTCAGATGCTTTCCCATGGGTGACTACCCCAGAGAGGAAGGAAAGAGTGGAGCTTCCTTGTCTTTGAGTTTTATGACAAATATGCTTTCAGGATCAATGTGGCTTTCACACACTTGAAAACTCATACCGAATCCCCCAATTTTTCATGTTCTCAAGGTAACTGCTTAGTTTTGTTCCAGGAAGTGGGAGGATCCCAGAAAGAGAATTCTTAATCTTGGGGAGCAGGACTGAGTACAGAAATGTCTTGGAAATGGAAGGTTCCCTTGGCTCCTTGCTATAGCAGCGCTGCAGCCCATATATAACTGGGCAGGCTCCCCCTTGCCGCGGTGCTTATCTCTGCCTCACATTCACAGACTCACCAGCCTGGAGTCTCTCTGGATGTTGGCCAAGCCAGTTGGGAATGCATAATAGCTGAGATATGGGGTGGGGGGAGCCCACCATGTCCTTGCATGCCGTGTGAAGGTCTCCCTTCTCCCCTTCTTTCCCCCTTCTAGCCTTTTCTCTGGCATTGGGAACTAATCTTTGTGGTCCCACCTCTCTAATCTTTGAAAAAAAGGCAGATCCAGATCCCACATGTGCAGGTGGCGGTGCTAATAATTATGGATTCCCTTGGCGAGTGGCAGGGAGCTTTGGGTGAGCAGATTGACCAAATGGCGTTAGGTAGTTGCCATTTTGAACCCTCAGGGACTTGTGAGCTTAAATTCTTCCCTGTTAAATCCCTGTGCCCCCTCATCCTCTGCTTCCCCACCCCCAAACTCACTTGGCTTCTCTGATCCAAAATTTTGGTTTTGCTTTTGTGCCCTTCTGTTTCTGTTTTGCATTTTGTTGTTTTCTTTCTCTCACTTATTACCCCACTTTCCTTTTATGTGTTTTGCTTTTTGTCCTGAGAAAAGGAAAGGTCTCTGGAAAAAAGACTGTAATGGGAGCAAGGGCTCCTGGGAAATTCGATGAGGTCTATGTGGGGGTCTGGAGCCTGCACTGGAGGTGCAGTGAGGCAGATGGTTCATGGCCCTGCTGTTAGTACTCTTGCTCTGGGAGCCGCTCTGTTTTGGGTGCACAGCTGGACACCTTAGAATCCTTGATTGTTGCTAGAACAACAGGACAGTTGTGAAAGCTGTAGCTTCCTTTCTGAAGCTATCTTGTGCACGGATAGAATGGATAGTTTCCACTCCTAGACAAAAGCTGAGTCACCAGTTAAAGTTACTAGTGATTTTCTGGGGTGTTCTTTTCTTCCTTTGCCGTTCACACACAGCCATGGGATTCTGGGCAGTGGCTCAGTTCCTCTTAACTATGTGGGGCAGGACCGACGCTTGGGATTATAATAAAGTCAGATGCCTTTGCTTATTATTTTACATTTTCAAATCAAGGGTGTGCGTGTGAGTATGTGTATGTATGTGAGAGAGTGTATGTGGAGGGGGACTGGTTATAGGACAGAAACTGATAATGTTTGTTTCTAGATGTTTGGTGTGATCATTATGAACCTTATTATTTTTTGTTTGATTTCATGTTAATATTCCTCCCTGTATTAGTCCACATAGGCTGCTGTACTAATGTACCACAACTGAGAGTTTTAGCAGACATGTGTTGCCTCACAGTTCTGGAGGCCAGAAGTTGAAGATCAAGGTGTTGCCAGTCATTCCTTCTGCGAGCGGTGAGGGAGGGCTGTTCATACATCTACTAGGTTCTGGATGTGTGCTGGCAATCTTTGGTATTCTTGAACTTATAGAAGCATCACCCCACTGATACCTTCATTGTCACATGGTGCTCTGCCTGTGTGCATGCCTGTGGCCACAGTTCTTTCTTTTATAAGGACATGAGAGGTACCGGATGAAGTCTGCTTAGATCCACAGTGACCCTACTTCCAAATAAGATCACTTTCTGTGATACTGGGTGTTAAGTCTTCAACATAAGCATGAGGCGGAGTGGGCACAGTTTAACCCATAACGAAGTAGGTCAACTCTAAACAAAGTGGGTCTTATTTTTGGTTTTAATTTTTGAAAAAGAAAGATCTCTATGTGGTGAAAATATCAAACACTGCAGAAGAGTCAACCAAGAAAAAAAGCAAATCCGAGTCTCTCACCCCTGGTCCCCCTTCCTCAGACCCTCCTTCTCTAATAAGGGTTAACCATTGTACTCAGTTTGTTTCTTCCACGTCTTTGTGGAGATGTATAGCTGTCCTTTTATTTTTTCTCCCTTCAGATAGTTGCATTTAAATGTCCTGTCTACATTTTGCCTTATTAAATTTAACGATATATCTCAGAGATCATTTCATATTAAAATACAGTAGGCATACACCTATTTATCTGCCTATAAAAATAAGTATACAGGTATCCTATTTTAGGATATGCATAGTATTTTGTCATGTGGATATACCATGATTTATTTAACTTCACTTCTCTCTTGATGGACATTTAGGTGATTTTCAATCTGTGCTGTGATGAAAAAAAGTTTCTCTATCTGTAAGTGTAAGTCACCTGTATATTTCACTCCTTCCTAAAGTTCTTAGAAAGTATATAAATAGAATACATTTAAGAAATATTTGTTAAATTCCTACCATGGACAAATATTTGCTATTCCATCATATTGAATGTATCAATATTTACTCAGTCTGATGGCTTGTCCTAATGAAAATTCTTGCATATAGATCACTGATTTTGATTCCTTTTCATTGGTTATTCTTTAGTGTAGGTTCGTAGAAGTAGCTTAAATAGTTTGGAAATTGTTAAGGTTCTGGACCCTGATTGCCAAATTATGTTCCAGAAATTCACTAATTTTTATTTTCACCAGCAGAGTGCCCATCTTGCCCAATAATACTAGCATTTATTATAATAATAATTATTAATGATTTATTTATTTTTTAAATTCATTTATTCATTATCATTTAAATTTATTATTTATTATCATTTAAATATTTATTTATTTATTATTTATTATTTAAAGATTTATTTATTTATTTATGCATACAAGAGCTGGGGTGTAGGCCAGAGGTGCAGAGAGGTGAGCAGATTCGCCAGAGACAGAGTGGGGAGAACAGGCAGATTGACTGAAATACACTGAAATACACTGCTGAGGGGAGCAGCGGGCAGAACAGGAGAGGTCTGCTGAGCCATGTGGGTAGCTCCCAGGCCAGGGATCAAACTCATGTTGCAGAGGCTGCAGATTGCTTCATAGTGCTGAGACTTAACCGCTTGAGCCACCAGGAAGGCCCCAATACTAGCATTATTAAAACCAAAAACTTTGCTAATTTGGCATGTGAAATATGGCCTTTCATCCTTTTAACATTGATTATTAGCTATTCTTACTTACTCTTTTGTGAGCTTTCTGTGTCTTTTGGCCTTTTATCTATTAAGGTCTTAATGCTTTTTGTATCAACTTGTATGGGCACATTCATATATTGAGGATATTGACTTTTGTAACTGTCATAAACATTTTCACCAGTTTGTGGTTTGATTTATAAAAAGTTCTTTTTAAGTATACAGTACTGTAGGTTTTGACAGATCTATATACCTCTGTGATGACAAGCACAGGAGAATATTTTAATCATTCCCCAAATTTCCTTTGTAGGTCTGCAATCCAACCCAGCTTTGGCCCCAAGCAACCATTGATCTGCTTTCTGTCACTATAGATTAGTTTTGCTGGTTCTAAAATTTCATATAAATAGAATCATACAGTGTGTACTCTTTTGAATCTATATTATTAAGCCTTTTTAAAAATAAGATTTGTCCATATTGTTATACTTAGCAATAGTTTGTTCCTCTTTATTCCTGAGAGTATTTCATTATATGAACACACCACAATTTTTTTTTTATCCATTCACTAGTTCATGTGTATTTGGGTGATTTCCCAAGCGCAAATAGTTTTTGGTGAGTGTGAATGAAGCTGCTATGAACATCTGTGGATAAATCTTTTTTGTGGACATAATTTTTTCCCCATTTCTCTTGGGCAAATAGTCATATGGCAAGAGTGTGTTTCTTTATAAGCAATTGCAGTGCTTTTCCAATGGGCCATTTAATATTCCCATCAGCAATATCAAAGCATTTAGATTGCTACACATCCTTACTGGCACTTGGTATTATCAACCTTTTAAATTCTAACCACTTCAGTGGATGTGAGAGGTGTCTCCTAGTTCTAGCCTACCTTTCACTGATGACTAGTGATACTGAACACATTTTCATGGGCTTAGCAACTGTCCTTTTGTATTATTTTGCGAAGAGACGGTTCAAGTCTTCACCCATTTGAAAAATGGATTATTGTCTTCTGATTACTTGCATCGTGAGGGTGTTGGACATAGATTCTTTGTCACATGTATGTCTCATGAACATTTTTAGTCTGCAGCTTGCCTCCTCATCTTCTCCAGTCTTTTTTATAAAATTGTATATAGATATGTATACACACACACTCACACATATGATGCCATTTGAATACTTTAAGTGTGTGATTCCGTGGCATTAATCATGCATTGTTTATTTCTGAAAATTGTATTTTTTTTAAATTGAGGTAAGGATAGTTTTTAGCCCTGTGTATGATTTAGAGGTAACGGGTCACACCTCTTCAAATCTTTGTTACCACCATGCCCATCGCCAAAGCATCCATAATCCTCCAGCACTGTTCATTTGGCTTCTGTCCCACTTTGCTCCTCACTCTGCTCTCTGTCTCTGGTAGCCGCACTTCTGCAATTAGATTTCTAGGTTTTGTATAGGGTTTAGTTTTACATGTTCCTTTGTTTTATTT